GGCAACTGGGAAGGTTGAGGTGAGGGATGAGATGAATCACGCTATGTTTCTCTCCACTGCTTTTGAAGAGAGCCAGACGACTCTCTCAGACGTCCACATCGTAGGCAACTGAGTTGGACAATGCAACCCCTTCTAGGTGTCACCACATGAACTCAGAGGCCCCGAGAGCCCAGCCGAGCTGCCCTCAGTGAGCACCAGGCGTGGGAGGAACTGTACCACTCGTGATAAGACCAACTAGGAAGGTATTGCACATGACCCAAATCAAGAAATGATCTTCTTTATCTCTCTTTTCCACTTCAACACGTTGCTAGTAACATGGAAAGGCGTGCTGATGCCCATGGGGTTACCTCTCTTAGCAGCTTCATGGATAGGGGATGCCAAGTCACAGGGGGGGTGTGGGCTGGCTCCGTGCTGCAGCAATAAATTCAAGCAAGCCACACTGCCACTGACACAAGCGCTGAACAATGGAGTGTGCCAGTCGACAGTAACTCCATTCACCTAGGGAAAAAAAACCACAATCAGGCTTTTTGTTCGTCTTCTCAGTATTTCAAAATATATTAGAATTTTCCAGTTTCTCAACAGAAAATAGGGTTCTCAATACTTTTTATTTAATTCCTTGCAAAAACTGCTTAGTGCTACTGAGGATTACAAGTTTTTATTAAGAAGATCATTAAAAAAATCTTTTTAAAAATTGCCCCCAAGTCTCCCCTCCTGCAAATGAATGTCTAACCAGTGCTGCTCTGGGGTCTCTTGGGAGTTACCAAGTTACTGAGTTAAATGTGTGCCCATTTCTCAGTTATCTCAGCCGAAACACACCTGCCCATTGCCCTGCCCTGAAATGGTCCATTTTTAGCTGTGCAGCCCCTCCTTTTTAAAAAAAGTTTAAACTGAAAGGTGATATATGTATAATAGTTAATCTTATTCACTATAATTTTGGCATTAGCTCAAAAAGCAGAGACCTTGAGACACACCTGTTTCATCATCGTACTTGCATGTTGTTTCCATTTTCTTCCTATTTTATCGTCAGTTGATCTTAACAGTCCTACACCTCTACTTAAGACTCTGCATATTGACACCAATGGGATTAGTTTGTGCAGAAAATAAAACACACCCTTAATTGTTGCAGGATTACAAATCCTTTGCAAGAGGAACTTCCCCTTATTCTTTCCATAAATGCTGAGAACATTGCACCTTCATCTAAAGAACAAGAGTAACTGTTGTTTATATCTGTGCTTTTTGGATTGCTTTATCAAGAATTGCATTTTATAACATACGTACTTTAAGCTGAGCTACGTACAGAGCGTAAATCACAGTGATACACTGTCATGAAATAGTATGTCACCTAGCATTAAAAAGTGATAATACAACATACTAACACTGGAGACAGTGGTCTGTTCATCATGCACTCACCTGAGCACCATGTTTTAATAGGACACTTGCACAAGCAGCATGACCCCCTAGGCAGGCTTCATGGAGAGGAGACACCTGGTCTGCTGTAACAAGATTCACATCACTTCCCTGATGAATTAATAGAAAATATCATTACAACCATCTACCAAAACCCCCATACAAACAAAAACCCCATCCCTTTCTATAGTGGCCTTTAAAGCTTTATGTAATCACACCTTCCTCAACTGCCTGGAGTTGCTCAACTCAACAGGTAAACAGACAAAGAGGCTGTGGTGCTTTGGCTGGAGTGGATACTGGCACAGCATACCAGAGGACATAGAATCATAGAATCATTAA